GCTTCCCAGGTCATTTGTGGAGTCCCCACCCCTGGAGGGGTTTCCAAGCCGTGGAGATGTGGTGTGAGGGACACGGGGCAGTGGGGACCCAGTGCTGGGGGAAGGGTTGGACTTGATGACCTTAAAGGTCTTTTCCAACCGAAACAATTCAATGAGCCACGTCCCTCAGCACCACACCTGTAAACCTTTTAAACCCCTCCAGGGATGGGGACTCCACCACTCTCCTGAGCAGCCTCTCCAGGGAGGTAAGCTGTATACCCTGTCCATGCCACACACCAGAGCAGGACTCGGAACGAATGCTCAGGGAGGGTTACAGCCCAGGCTGGACTCTACCTTCAATCGTGGAGCCAATGGTGAGGTCAGAAGGCCCATAGTAGGTGGCATGCTCTGTCGTGGAGCCTGGCTTGGCCACTCTGCTCTTCTCCAAGTACTTGCCCCCGATGATGCCCGAGTTGCGGGTGGGGGGTTCGTAGATGCTGATCGTGTCGTTGGAGAGGAAGTAGGAGAGGATGAAACGACGCTTCCTGTCCACAGGGTTTGGGGATTCCTAGAGGAAAAGGCAGTGGCTTTGGAAAAGAACATGTGAACCAGGTTTTCCCTTGCTGGGGTACTCTGGAGGAGCCAGTAACCCACCCATGAGCACCCCCAGTCCTCAGCTGCCTGAACGAAGCACTTGGTGTTGGCCAGAAGCCACAGATAGGCTGACAAGGTGTTACAAAGCCCTAGAGAGCTTGAAGGATCTGAATTTCAAAGGACACTTGCTCTGCTCAGGCTAACAGAAGCAGAATCTGGGCTGCAGTGACCATGTAGAGTCAGTGTTTTCACAGGCTGAGTAATCCAAGAGAAAGGAATATCCTATATGGAATGATTCATCACAGAAAGAGAGAGAGATTGGCTGTGAAACTCAGTATTCAAGAGGCATTTTTCACTGTAATGAGTGCCCCAGAGAGGCTGGTGCTGCTCCCAGCCCCCAGGCACAGGAAGGCAGCCCCCTGGCACGCTGGGAGGTTGACTTGCTTCATTTAAAATCAAGCAGATCTGAACTTTTTTCAGCTGTGACCTTCAGGAGCTCCTGCACAGCAGGGAAAAGAAACCAGCCCTTCTTCACCCCGAGGGTTTGGAGGCACCAGGCAGCACAGGAAATGCCATCCCTGCTGCTGGATGTGCCAGAGGCTCCTTGCATCAACCAACTGGAAAGCTGGCACCGAGGCCAGGGCTCAAATTCTGCTGGAAAGCTCCGTCCCTGTGGACTCCTCAACTTCTGCCCTGGAACTTGGCACCCTGCTAGCACAGCCTCTGGCTGGCTGAGGTGGCCAGAAGCAGTGTGGAGAAGGGCAGGAGGTGGGAGGCAGCAGTGGAGGGGCAGCAGGCTGAGGGAAGCAGGCAGAGGCAGGGTGCCCAGGGCAATGCTGGCTCAGTCAGGGCCTTCTGTCCCGTGCTGATGTCCGTGGGAGTGAGTCCAGAAATAGCTGTGGGTGGGGAGCACGTCTGCTTTGGACTTTCTGGCCTTGTTTCTCCTGCCTTTGCTTGCTGCTGAGTGCACAACAACCCAACAGCACTGCCCAAGGGAGGGATGAAGGATATTGACTTGGGCAACTCTTCTCCCACCAGCACAGAGGAGAATTTGCTCACAGCCTTATCTGAGCAGGCTGCTCCTCTCATCCTTCTGCCTCTACAACACCAGCTGGCTCTGCAGAGGTAAAGGAAGAACTTACCAGGGCCACCTCGTATCGCAGCACTTTGTGGTTGTTCTCTAGCATCTTAAAGATATCTTTCCTTGGTGGCTTTGGAAACAGGGACAAACAGTTCTGAAGAGAGTCTTCAAGGGTGCCAAAGCCATTGTAAGGAGGAATTACCTGCATCCAGAGGAGACAGCAAGCAGAAACAGCTGAAACTATGAACAAGGCAATGCTTGCAAGGTATTTGATCAGAAAACAGCTGTCTGGGAAGAAATCTTCTATCCTTCTATCACTGCTAGAAAGTGCTTTGTCCTTTACAGCATTAGAAACCAACAGTTTCAGGAGATTTTCATTTTTAGACCTATTATGACCATTCTTGCCTTGTCTTTTCCATGTTACCTGCTCCTTAAGCTGAGCTTGTTTGCTGTAGGTTCTTACTAAGCTGAAGCTAGGCTTGAAGACCTTACACCAGCTTCTTCCTTCCCTCCCTTCCTTTAAGAAACTGTTGGCAGTACCCGTGGAATTTCCTGAAGTGGTTTCTTCTTTATTTCCACTGGCTGGAAGTCTGTGATGCCAAACTTGTCGCGGTAGAAGTTCCGTGTGAACTCATCACAGTCATAGATGAAGAAGGTGCGTCCCAGGAGGGTGGTTGACTTGCCAACAGCAAAATCTTTAGCTGTGTACCACTCCAGCACCTCCTGATCAGAGATCTCCAGCACACAGCTTGGGAAGGTCTCTAAGGACAAGGGGAGAGAAAGAAAAAATAACTCACTCAGGTAGACGTCCTAATGAAAAAGGTCAAAACCTGCTGAGACTTGGAGAGTTCTCAGCAAAACTTCTCCAGACTTGGCGTAGCTCTGGCACGGCCACACGTGTGCCTGCCCACTTCAGCCCAGGCAAGGTGGGCTGGCCAACCTGAACTTACTCTTCTTGTCCACAAAGGTTTTGGGCAAGCGCTGGCGTTTTATCAGGACCGGGAAAGGGTCTCTGCCATCGTTTGGCCTGTAGACTTCCCGAACCTCCACCGTGTCATCTGCCAAGTAGTAGTGGATGATGGAAGGCCGACTGTCACCCGAGGGGTTGTCAGTGTCACCCCACGTGGCGTAGAAGCGAAGGACCTGGCGTGGAGGAAGGAGAACACAAACGTGGATTAGGATTCCCCACGCCTCGTCCAAATGAAGTGGGCTGGAATGGGTTGGAGGCATCTCTCCAATCTTCTCTGCCAGGTACAGAACAGCAGGAAATAAATGGCCAAGAATGAGTAGAGAAGTAGTTTTAAGGGATGGGATTTTTAGGATGAAATTTCATATGGGAAGACAGAATCTTGTTTGGACTCTTAAACCTCCTAGAGGCTTCATGGCCAACTCTTCATCACTCTAATGCTGAGGAAGGCAGAAGGGAAAGTTTTAGGATGAAATTTCATATGGGAAGAGAGAATCTTGTTTGGACTCTTAAACCTCTTAGAGGTTTCCTGGCCAACTCTTCACCACTCTGATGATGAGGAAGGCAGAAGAGAACACACCTGGCTGTGCTGAGGAGGCTGCACTCACTGCAGACGACATCTGATTTCTGCCTAGGGGAAATATCATCTTTTAATGCCACAGAAATCAAACTGCTGTTGTCCAGGGACAACACACAGAACTCAGGTCGTGTCCTGGCCCTGTTTATTTTCTAGTGTAGATGTAGTCTGTAAGGTTTTTACACTGTTGCTAGATGAAAGGAAAAGCCATAGGATCATTTCGGTTGGAAGAGACCTTTAAGATCATGGAGTCCAACCCTTCCCCCAGCACTGCCAGGTCCCCACTGCCCCGTGTCCCTCACACCACATCTCCACAGCTTGGAACCCCCTCCAGGGGTGGGGACTCCACCACTGCCCTGGGCAGCCTGGCACAGCCCTGGGCAACCTTTTTATTGAAGAAATTGTTCCTCAGGTCCAACCTAACCCTCCCCTGGAACAACTTGAGGCTGTTTCCTCTTGTCCTATCACTTGTTCCTTGGGAGCAGAGCCCGACCCCCCCCTGGCTCCAGGCTCCTGTCAGGAGCTGTGCAGAGCCAGAAGGTCTCCCCTGAGCCTCCTTTGCTCCAGGCTCAGCACCCCCAGCTCCCTCAGCTGCTCCTCCCCACACTTGGCCTCTAGACCCTCCCCCAGCAGCTTCGTTGCCCTTCTCTGGCCACCCTCCATCCCTCAAGGTCTTGGAGTGAGGAGCCAAAGAAGATCCAGAGGAGCTGGAAGGACAGCATTAGTCAGCTGTGTGCACAGGGAGAATTCAGCCAGAGCAAGTGGTGTTTGTGTTTGTCTGAAATTGTCCACTCTGGCACCAATGTCTGGGGGACGAGAGGAGTGGAAGCAGCACACCCACCCGTGCTAGAACTGCCCCTGCCTCTACCTGCTACCTTCCTGAGGCAGGGGGCTTATCTCATCCCAGCAGAAAGCACGAGAGAAACAGGAGGATTTAGAGCTCTGGAATCCAAAGAGAAACTGTTCATGAGGCCCAAAGCAGAAGTTTCATTTCTCATTGGAGCCAAGAAAGGAGCGAACCTGGCGCCTGTGCAGCGGGCTGAGGATTTGTGGAAGGAGTCTGGCTGCAGACACTCACAGGCCTCAGGTTTCAATAAACCCTTCAGTCTGTGACCTGGGGACTCACCACCAGCCCTCTCACCTGCTTGTCATAGTTCAGAAACTGCTTGAGCTGGTCGAAGTCCGAGGGGGTGATGTACTTGCGCAGAGGCACCTGCCGCAGCTCGGTGTAGGGGTCCAAAGCCATGTCCTCGGGAGGGTTCAGCTCAATGCCTTGGCTCTCCAGGAACACCTAGGAAGGTCATCTGAGGTATTAATGAGCCTTGCCAGGACACTGCAAGATCTCTCCTCACAGATCACCAGGCTCAGGGGTGTTTGTTCTACCGCAGCAGCAAGTACAACAGGAGGTGGCCAAGATGTTTCTGTTTAAGCTGCTTCTGAGCTTTGCTCGCCCTTTAATTACTCAGGGCAGTCCTGTCCTCAACATCCTAACTCAGATTTCACTCCAGCACAGCTCTCCTTGGCCTTAGGGCTTGAAGTGTAGGATAACTCTAGCTGGTCTTTTCTACATAGATGAAAAAGGTTAAATTAGTGCACAACCACTGATGTGGTCGGTCAGAATTTCCAAGGGATCTCGGGCTCCCCAGTGTGTCAGACAGTGGACGTTGGTGTTACCCACACTAGGCCCACCAAGGTCCTTCAGGCCAGGAGGATGTCCAGAGTGCCAGCAGTAATTTTCCCACAGAAAGAGGGCAATTGGCTTGTTTATAAAGGGGTTTTTTGCCTGCCTTGGATGCATCAACAAACTCTAGAGTGTTGTGTACTCACATCAGTCACCCAAAACAAGCCCTAAAGTCAATAGACTTTTCCCCTTTTTGGCCGTGGGAGGTGGCCCATGAAGTCATTCAGTCCAAGAAGCACATGTGCAAACATCTCCAACAGGCACGTGAGATCCCCCTGAAGACTCACAAAGCAGGTTCCCACCTTCAGACTCACTGTTGTCTGGTCTGGAGGATGCCAGTTAATGGTAGAAAGACTAGTGGCCTTGAGAAGTAGACCTGTGTAGCTCATTTCATGTTTTCCACCAACCAACCAACATTTGCATGAGAACCAGCTCTTCATCTGATGTGACTTGGCTTTAACAGTCGTGCAGTTCCAGCAGAGCTGGCCCCACATGTTCTCAACAGCCACATGGACACCAAAACATCACACAGAGCTGAGAACCTTCCTGGGCACTGAGGGCTGGTGTACACATGGAAATGAGCTTAGACTAATTCTATTCACACAGCTCAGAATTTATATTGGAAGGAGTATTTCTGAGGCCCAAAGATGGACTTCCAGCAGCTGTGGGGCAAAAACACTGAACAATTTATGTGCCCCCAGCCAATATCCCCTGAGCATCCCACAGATCTGAAGAAAGATTTCTCTGCTAAAAATCAAAAAGGAAAGATTGTAAACGACCTTGTTGTGAAAGCTACAGATGCAGACCACTGGCATCCAACAGATCCTCCCACCTGCAGCTCCCTGGGTTGTCTGTGCCAGTGTTCTCTGGCCAGGTGACCTACCTGGGTGAAGGGGTCACAGTTGACTATGCGGTAGGTCCTGCCGTACATGGTGATGTTGATGCCTCTGTTCAGGTCCTTCCAGTGGTAATGATCCCCACGGTCGTTCTTGGGCACCCGATGGCGTTTGACAAGTTTGCCTTGAGGAAGGCCAGAGTTCTTCACAGCAGGTTCTATCACTGACATGCTGTCATCTTCCAGGTAGTAGTAGATGCCCACCTGGCGGATCCGGTAATGCTCCTCTGCAGAGAGAGGGACATCTTCCTGGAAATAGGCATCAAACTTCAAGATCTGCCAAAAGGACAATGTAATGAAGGGAGAGAGAAAGGAACAGTTTTATTAAGATCAATCATTTCTTTGGAATTTGCTCTGGCAGGGCAAAGTTGCTGAGTTGTGATCCCTACAGCCATCAAGGCCAAGGGTGGCTGAGGGCAGAGGCATCAGGAGGTCTCTTCTCCAGACCTGTCTTGTACAAGTTGGGTATGCACAAGATAGGTGGATAAAAATACAGCCTTTTCCTTGCTCCTCCTGGCTCACCCACCCTCCCACCTACTGCCACGGGCTTGGCTCCTGCCAGGAACCCACTGTACTGACATACATGACGTCCTTTGCTGCTGTCAGCTTTGCAGACCCTGATTTAGGGAAGCCAGCAGGAGATTTTAGTAGAGTTCAACCATCTTGGTAGATTTTAAGATCTGCCAGGGTCATCTGAAGTCACATCTAGTCAGCACAGACAGCAAAAGCTAATCTCTGCTGGAGGAACAAGGAGACAAATCACAGTTCCAGTGCTTGGCAGAAGTATGAGGAATATTCCCTCCAAATCATTCAACACCCCTAAAAGAATGTGGGTGGCCAGTCAGCCCTGGCATACCCAGCCTACATCAGCCCAGAGGTCTGGAGAACTAAGTGATGATAAAGCCAGCAGCTTCCTACCAGCCAGCAAAAGTGCTTCAAAAGGGACCATGAGCTACCCCAGCAGCTCTAAACCCCCAGCCCTGAATCAGGGTTGGCACATGGGTCATGTCCACAACCAAGCAGGAAAGATCTTCCTGACTCGTTTTCACCCAGGGTCTGGCCAGTCTTGGGTGGGAACTGTTGAGGAGATCACCACCAGGGGCCCCTCCAGGTGATTAACATCAGGTGTCCCACCTCTAAGTTAAGAGCATGAAGGCTGGCTCTGCTTGCAGGGAGGGGGGAGTTTCTGGGTTTGCTCCTGTCTTCACTTCATCCTACACCGTGAGGGAATGTATCCATCTCTTTGTTCCTCTTGTGTCAGACACCTCGTGTCCTCCATGTCTAACTTAGAACTGGAGGGAAGGATCTGCCCCATGTGCTGCTTGCTGCTGGTAGCACCCTTCCTGTTGGGGTGTGCAGTCAGCAAGAGACAGGGTCACCCACAGCAGGGTGCCCAGGGTGGTGTCCAGAGGTTTTGGGATCTCCCCAGAGCAGGAGACTCCACAGCCTCTCTGGGCAGCCTGGGCCAGGCTCTGCCAC